TGTTATATGACACTTATTTCTCAATAAAGCTGGGGGAAAAAGAGGAGGGCAGGAAGACGAGGGGGTGGCTGACCTAGAAGGCTGTCAGGAGCCCCGAGGCTGCACACTCACTCCAGCACTAACTGCTGGGAGCTCTGGGCCTCCTCTCCATCTGTAACCTCCCAATCCCACCCGTGCTGTCTGTTGGGGGGAGGGGGCAGGCTGCTAGGTCTGGCTGGCTTCTCATGACCAGGAAGTGCGGGGACTAAAACATCCAGTTGGATGACCTTGACCCTCAGGCAGTCACAGTACACTTCCCTTAGAGGTTAGAGGGCTCTGACAGAAATAGACTCCTTCCCAAGGGACTGAAGCTGGGTTTACTAGGTGGGGCTATTTTAAACTGTCATGGCCAATTAAATGTTCCATTCTGCAGGAAAAAGCAAAACTATCCATCCAAGTTCATAACAATGTCAGGAACACGATTAATGAACAAACATTTTGTGAACAACCATTATCTGCCTGGGTTAGAAACTTGAGTTCATTCTAGACCCTTCCCTTCTCATTCCTGTAATTTTTCAGGCTTCTTTCCTGCCAGGGGCTTTCTGGGCCAAGTCCTGGAGTTTTTTCGGCAATGTTTAAATGTTCCCATTCTGCAGGCAAGGGTGCTGAGGCTGAGACAGGCCACACCCTGGTCTGGCTCAGGGATCCATGCTGTTTGACCACCCCTTTGCTGTCTCAGTTTACCAAAATCTGTTCAAGTCTGTCCCACCATCCCAGCCCAGCCTCTCTGGTCACTCCACTACCCAGACCCTTAGCTTCTCTCACCTGGGCAGCTGAAGCTGTCTTGGGTACAAGCTAGGTTGCAGCCGTGCCCTCAGGGGTGCACCCAGGGCCCTCACAACCTCCTGAGACCTCTCCTCCCCCACCTCCCCCTACCTGGGATTGATCACACCCCTCATCTTGGGCATCGCCCCCAGGCAGGTTGGGCTTCTGGCTGGGTTCCCGACACTTGTCATGTGCCATTTGGAAACTTCAGCATCACTAGTCAGTATTGTGGGTGTGCAGGCCTTGCTTGGCATGTCTGTGCTCCTTGCTCCCAGAGGGACAGGGGCCCTGTCATGGTAAGATGTGGCAATGACAGATAATTTGTGCTGGGGGCCCCGGAGCCAGACCCCTTAAACTGGAATCACACTGACTTGCTGTGTGACCTTGGGTAAATGACTTAACTTCTCTGTGTCTCAGATACCTCATCTAAATTGTATCCATCACATATGGTGATCACAAGGATGAAGAAGTAAAGTGCTTCTAGTAGCCCCAGGCACCCACTGTCATTGGCAAGTCTTCTCCCTCCATGCCCTAGTGTCTGCATCCTACAGGCTCTTGTTGACCATGTGTTAGTTGAAGAAAGCCCTGGAAGCTGGGCACCCTGCATTTATCAAACCTCTCAGGGTACCATCGATAGAGCTTGGAACTGTGACTGTCCACACGTTAACAGTGAGTGAAGGAAGAGGCCACAGTAGGAGCCTCGGCATCTGCCTCCATCACCCCATCTTTCAGAGGTGGCCACAACCCAGGATGATGGAGACACGACAAAGGCCTTTGAATCACACAGAGAATGGGAGAAATCACTGTAATCTGTTTTTCCAAATTGTGTTATTTTAAATGCCCTGGGTGGGTGCCCATGTGTGCAGGGACACTTGGCTGAGCGAGAAGCGCTTTGTCCCCTGAAAGGCTCCATTGTGACCCTGAACTGGCCAGAGCGATTCCTGGAACAACAGGCCCTTGTGCAGTCCCAAGGCTACTCACTCGGCCCATGGCTGGCAGCGCGAGTGTTTTGCTGTCTGTAAGGTCAGTGCAGGGAGGCTGTGGGTTTCTGGTAAGTGGTGCTCTTTACAGTTTTAGTCTAGAATGTCCATGAAGCCCAGCTCCTGTCAATTGTGTCTTTTCCGGAAGGGCAGATCTTGTGGGGACCAATGTGAGCAGAATGGAGGGTCAGAAGCCTGTCCCAGAGGACTGAATGCAGGCAAAGCCTCTCCCAGGTCACCCTGACCTGCTCAGGGAAGGCTCCCAGGAGGTGCCTCCAGAGCCCCCAGGAAGCACAGGTCATAGGCACTGAAGCCACAGGCGAGAACCTGCACCACACCTGGCTGGATCTGATCCACAGCTGTCTTCACTCTGTCTTCCGTGATGCACACTTTCACCACACACGTGTGGTGACTGTGGGTGGTTCCGCTCTGAGAGCTTTGGCTCTGGGTCACATTGCAGACATCACCTTCTTACTCACCTTCTTTACAAAGCTGGACTGGGTAGGCCTTTGACTTTGTGGGGGCTGCAGAATAGAACTGACTGGTTGTCTGAACACAACTGGCATTGTTGTGACTTTGCACCTCAGAACAACCAGCCCCTTTAAATAAGACAACTGAGTCCAGGACCTGGACCCAGTATGTGGCCTCCTGCCAACCCTCTTAGTGGCTGTCCCTCTGAAGGCCCCTGCCCACCTGTGTTGGGTACACTGTAAGGTCTCATCTCACTATCACTTCCTAAGGGGCTAGAGGACAGACCCAGGTGGTGGCAGGTCTGCGCCTTGGAGGGCAGTAGGTGAGCACAGGGCTCCAAGGGCAAAAAGAGCAGGTGCTTTGCGCAGCTACTATGCTCTGTTCATTCTCACCAGCTGAGTAAATCTGTTTCCTATAGAGCAACAGTAGTGGTCACCTACTTTGTGGCCAAAGAGAGGATGATAGGACCCTATAGGTATATAAGGTGCATGTGCAGTAAGGACCTGGCCCAAGGCGAAAGCTCCAAAGATGGCAGCAAGGTGATTACACAGGTGCAGATGTGGGTCTCTTGGGCAGTCAGGTGTGGATATTCATGCTACTTGCCCTTTACACCAAGTCAGGACCACCAAGCAGGCAACATATAAGGAATGCCCCACATGCCCTTGGGGTAGCATCAAGATATGCCCCAGAGGGGTTCCTTCCTGCCCAAGACCCAGAGGCAGAGATGGGAGGCATGGTGGCCACAGGAGGGTTTGGAGGCAGACACCATCCCACATTTGAGGGACCAATGGTCCTAGCACACAGTAGGTGCTAAGACAATGCTCATTCTTTGCAAAAGACCTGTCCATCAACCAGTATTTGGACCTGTAAACCCTTCCAAAATAGCTGGATGCAAAGGAGCTGAGTAATGAGATGCATGGGCAAATTGAGGCCAGGAGAGGCCATTTGTGAGGCTGCCTATCCCATTAACATCCATTGCAAATCAGATGCAAATCAAAGGCCAAATGAAACTGTAACATTGATTTGGAATGGGAGGAAAGAAAAGTTGTGCTAGAGGATCTCCTGCAAAGCCTTGGGCCAACTGAGGGTTCTACAATTGGACCCATTTGCAACTAAAGAGAAAACAAAGAAAGATCATATCAAAGTTTCTTCAAAGAGAAGGATTTAAATTTTGAAACCTTGAGAAACCCTTGAGAAATTCAACTAAGCCTTCCACTTTTCTTGATGGGGGTCAAAATGAGGCTCTATTAGCACCATGTTGCCGGCTCACTGGCAGTTTTGTTCAAAAAGACTTCCCTCAGTCATTTGATTGCAAATATATTAAACACATGACAAACTTCCTCTCATTTCTTAATCTGTACTTTAATTTTTCAGCATAAAGCACCAATCAAATCTTTGCTCATTTCCTATGAAGATTTTACTTACATTTGGTGTTATGTGGACTCACTATAACAGCCCCTTTTCTGGTACCATTACCCTGCGGTAACAAAAGACAACCCAGAGATGCCACTGAGACCCAATGGGAGCTGTGAGCTGGACGGGAAGTAAACTGTCTACTGGTCAAACCTCTGCCTGAGGCTTCAATCTTTGCCCTGCTAGTGATAGGGGACTCAAGACTTCGAAAATTTTAGCTTAAGGTAAAAAGTTGTAAGTCTGGCAAGTAATGTGTATGTTAAAGCTTTTGTTTCAGAAACAAGGCCGTCCTGGCTCCTGGGAAAACAGCTGACGTCCTGGGGCACTGCTAAAGATTACCGCCTGGGGACAACTGGAGGCATCCAGGCCTTCGTGTTCCAGGGAGAGACAGACAACCACCCACCCCTGGGAACAGCTAACTGCCTAGGACAGGAATGTTGCAGCTTCTTTCATCTAATCCTTGCTGAATCTCAAAACCCTCACTGCACCTTGTTTATTCCCCCATTATAAAAAGTCTGGCCTGGAAAGAGAAGGGAAGATGGTCTGTTAGGGTGTGAACCCACCATCTTCTCAGATCGGTGGCCATCTGAATAAAGCACCATAAAGATTCAATTGCTGTCATTGCTTATTGGGTTTGGTAATGAGTGACAGGCAGCCCGAACGCCGGTGTCTTTTCCAGTTTCACGAGCAAGAGGTGATCTGCCTGCACACTCCTGTGGCCAAGAGTTGACCAGTGTTTGAGGCACCTGTTCTAGTGTCCCAGGTGTGACATATCAGTGACTTTCTTGGGTGATGGGACAAAGGAGCATTGATGATGAGAGCTGGGCTTTCATGAGTCCTGACTACCCTCCTTCCTAACAGTCCCATCCTTTCAACCCAGATGTCTCATACGCACAACGTGGCACTCACCACTTGTCACACCTCAGTCTGTAGTGTGGTCCCCATTCTCTCCTATGAGGTGGCCCAAGGAAGTTCTAGTTCACTATCCACATTCCAAATTGGAGCAGACCTGCCCAGTGCATTTCTGATCAGCTACACAGAGAATGAGAAGCTTCTACACCTCGTTTCTTTGGCTCAAAGACTTTCTAATTGAGCACAGGCCCCTTTATTCTGTAGAAAAAAGAACAGGATCCTCAGGCTTGTACCTGGGGAGTTTCCAGGGAGGTGAAGCTCTCCTGGGGAGAATGGGACGCCCAGTGCAGTGGCCAAGCACATACAGCTGTCACCTGAACTGCCATTTGGTGCTGCCTCTAGAGTCACTCTGAACCGAGGGTTCCTCAGAAAGAAAGCTGACATGATGGCATTCCTGGTACAAAAAACGCCCCACAAAAATACTGAACATAAAGGTACTTTATAAAGTGTCTCAAAGGTTTATCACCTTCCACCGTGGACATATTCGTTGGGTGGGTTTTACTCCCCCTGATGGGCAGAACCTCCATGATGACTTAGAAACATGCCAGGAGATGGGTGCTCAGACAGCCCGTGAAAAATTCCAAAAGTTCTCAAGATCCATCCAGAGGTCAGCAGGGCGTCTTCATTTCGTGGTCTCTCAGACCACAGCCCCCACTTCCCACCCCACCATGCCCGTCCCCCAAAGCAGGAAATAACCCAAGAAAGACAGCTGTCATTTGAGGTTATAGGTAGCTGGCCCCCAATCTTGACATGAAGGTCTATGGGACAGTAAACATAACACCCACAAGAAACAGAGTTGGTTTTTTTTTTTTTTTTGGTTTGTTTTCTTTTTTCCACCACGGACAGCATGCCTGCATTCTAAAAAGTTATGCTGGAAGGTGGGCTGATCAATTAACACCGTCTGGGTGTTCAGCTACAGTTCTTCCTCCTCTGCTTTATGAAGACTTCCATCGGATTAAAGAAAACACGGCATGGACCACGTACAGCAGAGTAGCTACGTAGGAAAACACCTGAAACCAAGATAAAGGACGATTAACAGCATACACGGGGACAGGGCAAGGCACAGACAGGCTGGATGCTTCATGGTGCCCATTCAGGATGATAGCCCTGCCGCGTGTGGCCAGCTGCCACTGCTTCCCACCACCCACATTACACCTTTCCTCACGGAGCCCAGCTGTGGCTCCTGATGCTATTGGCACAGAGCTCCAGCTGACTGGACAATCCGCTGAACGTGGTGTGCAAGGCCAACTTTCTACTTTCTCACGTGATCAAGCAGGTGCCACCCAACTGGAAATGCTCATCTCAGAAGCAGAAAAGTATCAACCACTCTCCATGGAACACTTCCCTCCTCCACACCAGTAAGGCCAGAGTGCACCAGGTGTGACCCCAGCAGCCTCTGCTAAAAGAATAGATCCATGCGGGTCTGTTGGCTCTGGTCAAGGTCTCAATGCTGCCTGGACATCCACAGACCCCATCAGAATTTTATTCTATGACTCTTCATACCATAGGCCTGGGTAAGGGGGCCAGGATCACAGGAAGTGAGGGGCAGGGACAGAGAGGAGGGACTTTGAGGTTTTGCACAAAAGGAGGTAGCTTACTGAGAAAGCAGCTGGGAAGATCCGGCCAGCTGCGTTGGCACTGGGAACGAAGGAAGGCCCTGGAAGTGTGGTAACTGGTCACTTGTTGGCTGTCACAGCCCTGACTTGCTGTGTTCACTGGGCACCATTTACTCCTATCACTGTATGCTGGTGGCTGGCCTCCCTAAAGGGAGGCTCCCTGCCTCCAAGTCAACTATCTGCACCTGCTTTGTGGCCTTAGGCTCAGGGTCAAGAGTTTCCAAGCCAGGCACAGTATTTAGGGTGGACACGCTTCCACGAGTTTGGAAAATGCCCATAAACAGCGGTGGCACCGTGCTGCTCTGTCCCCTACTCCACACATGGGCAAGCCCTTCAGCCCCGTTGGTCAGAGGCAATGAGTAAGCTGAGTTACTTAATAACAAATGTAAGAGAACTCATCCGGGGACTCTTAAGCACCCAATCTGTGAGGAACAGTCACACAGGTGTGAGCAGCCCCCTAGAAACAATTCCCCCTCATCGGCAGGGAGCAGTTCATGTTCTGGGCAATTCTGGACGCATGAGAATCCCCAGCAGAAGCACCTTAGAAATCCTGTTGGGAACAGGAAACAGATGTGTTTCCCAAGTGAGACCAAGAAATGACACTTTGGGGACACTGAGAGCCAGGGACATGAAGTGACATTCTTAAGCTTTCAGAAACCCCTCTCCCTAAACAGCGGCCATTAGCGCTGACCACAGACCCAGAAACCCCCAGATTTCTGCAGAAATTTCCTGCTGCCTCAGTCAACTCCACCAATCCCAGGACCCCAAAGGTCAGGGCTATGGGAGAAGGGATATGAGATGCCACCCCACACCCAGACTGGCCACCTTCTGACTGTTTGAAGGGCAGGTTCCACTTGGTTAGGGTCTGGGGCTAAATCCCGAGTAATGACTCCTGCGCCACACACGCATAGCGCTAATACTGCCAGCAGAAGAGTGTAACTTTATGTGGAAATGGGCTCGTGTTTCTGTGGGGTTTCGGCCCAGTGTGTCTGCCTGCGGAGGACACTTTCATCCCAATTCTGGCACAGCTGACTTCGCCTGGGCACACTCATGATTCTCCAGCTTAACTAAAAAAATGTGGGGACGTGATCAGTCGTGGAAGGGACTAACACGTGTTGGTGTGGTCTTCCATGGGAAACTGTGCAGCAAAAACAATGCACACTGTACATCTCACCCAACCATGTTGGGGCACCTCATGAGCCTGAGGTTGAGAAAAAGAAGCCAGACATAGAAGAACACACACAGGACTCCATGTACATGGTCAAAAGCAGCTGGAAGTGAGCCAGGCAAATACAAGTTGGGTGGGGGTTATCCTCGGTGTAAGGGTGCGGAGACGGCGGAAGGACAAGAAGGGACTCTGGGAGCTATTCTGTTCTATTTCATGATCAGGATGCTGGTTATACAGAGGAGTTTATTTCATGAAAATTCATCAAGCTGTGCACTTGCATCCTGATCACTTTTCTAGATATAAGTTGCATCTTGTTAAAAAGTAAAGGAGAGCTGGAACCCAGTAGAGCCCAGTGGTTCTCAACTAGAGACCGATCCAGGGGGCAGGGACACAAATTCACACCATCTGGTTTGCTTCATCAAGTGCTGACCCACTAGACACATTCCATCTACGTTTTATGACCATTTTCCACAGTACTTTTATGGAAATGATTGTGAAATGCCTTGCTGATGCTTGCTTGAAGAGAAGCCTTCTGGGTAGGGATGGGGGAGGCTTGAGGCTCTCTAGATGAGGAGGAGACCACACAGGGTCATTTGAAGGATGACCAACCTCCCAAGGGAAGGAAGACTCACCAAGGTGCTGCCCGGTTGTGCTACCACTTAACAACCAGCCTCCTTGGGAAATGAGCTGATATGGGAGCCGTTCCATACTGTGGGACGCTGAGGGGTACCAGGGACCTTGAGGTGGCCAGGTTTATGAAACTGGGGAGTATGCTGGGAGCTTAAGGGGAGCATGTGGCTTCCCCAGGTTGGGGAATGGGCCCATAGGGACCAGTGGACAAAACTTTGAGGAACTTTCCTCCAGACCCTTGGCTCTCACCAATCCCCTGCCCAGGGCCCAACACCATCCATCCCTGTGGGTTTCCTCTCAGGCTCTACTCCACCCTTTCTCGATGCGGGAACAGCAGGACTTTGGTGTCTGGAGCAGGCTATCATCATATTTGCATAATTGATAGGTCAACCTCTAGAAATCTAAAGAGTGCCATTTCTGAAACATTTTTCTTATTTTTTAAACAAGTTATTTTTTAAACAAGTTATTTTTTAAACACAGTTAGAAATCCATTGACATTGGGCATTAGTGCCCCAGTACTGGCCCACGCACATGCGACTCTGTGAAAAGCTTTGTGAAACAATCTATTCTCGAACTCCCTGTCATTCTGATCCTTTTCATTAAAAAGAAATTTCAGGTCCTGACCTTGCAGGCCACCAATGGGTCTGGCTCTGCCATTGGAGAGTGTCATCTTTACAGCTCAGAGACCTGGCCCCTGTCACACACAAGTTGGCACCGCCACTTGTTCTCCTGATTGGCAGAGTAAGGTGCAATCCCCTGTCGCACCTGCTGCTCACTGGAAGGCCTCAAAAGAAATCGTTCACTACCTCTGCATTCCTCAAGGGAGCTGGACAGGAAATACATCCTCTTTACAGATGAGCAAGCCAAGGCTGAGAGTACAAGGGACCCACCCACACAAGGAATCAGTGGAGATGTGACTCTGGTCCCTTCTCCTCCCACAGGTCCTCAACTGTCAGGCAGTAGACGGTGTCATGGCATCTGAAGCAGCAGACACTCACAGCTGTGGGTCTGGACCAGGGCCTGGCGAGACACTGGCCACTTGATTTCCCATCCTAGTCTCAGTGCTCTCCAGCCCTGATTATGCCTTGATGGCAGATGGACCACTCAGTGAGAGCCAGGAGGCCAAGTGACCAGGTTCACTGCTCCAACCCGGTGCTGAGTGTGGGCGACAGAGCATCTGGCCTGGACACCAGGCCCCGCATTCATGTGATGTTGGAGCAAACTGTGCATGTTCTCGGTGCCCTGGCTCTCCCTCTGTGAAATGGGTGTAAGAACAGTGCCTACATCCTAGGGTTGCTGTGAGGGTTAAATGAGATTGTTCACGGAGCTCAGACAGTCCCGACACCCAGTGGTCATGCCTCCTCATACACTTGTCCTACACAAAGCCCCCCAGGCACAGACCCCTGGGCCAGCCCAGGCCTGAGCAGCATGACACTGGCTGATGGCTGGGGAGTCTTGGGCACCTCACTTCTCTTTTCTGGGGCTTTACTTCTTCATAAATGGGGGGAAGATTTACTTCATTCAAAAGTTAGTGAACTAGAAAAATAGAAAGAAGGCCTGGGTGTCCTTCAGCTGAGACCCTGTTGGTGGGGGTTGGGAGGTGGGAACATGGATGGGTGATGGGGACTCACCACAGCGGAGATGTTTTCATGGTAGTACTTGTACATGAAGCCATCGTGCATTATGATGGTGGCCAGAGCTTCCAGGACGGAGGCGCTGAGGTAAAACAGGGCGGCGGTGCAGTGGTAAGCTGCATCCTGTAGGGTCAGAAAGGGCATCAGAGAGATGGAGGCCCAGACGCAGCCATGAGGGCAGCTGTGGTCCAGCAGAGCCTGTCCACACCCCACCCCCACCTGGCATGGTTTCGGCCCCTCCGTCCCCCTTTGTCCACCCGTCACCACAGCTGCCAGTCCCTTCCTCACAGAGAATCTAATCAGCACTTCCCAGCAGTTTTTTTTTTCCTCACTGGTTTGGACATCAGAGGAAAGACTTTGATGAAGAAGAGATGCTGCTTTCCCTTGAGGTGGAATCAAGAAAAAGTTGGGCAGGAAGAACAGCTTAGGATTTAACAGGTAAAAATTGGTTCTGGACCTGCGAAGGGTCACACATGGTCACAGTCCCAGTTAGGATGTGACCTTGGTAGCCAGTGTAGGGCAAGAGAGGCCCACACCATTTCTACTGTTTTATTGTTCAATTTTTTTTTTTGGCGCGGGGGGGGGGGGGAGGGCAGCCCAGTTATGTTTAAAAGCAGATAAGGAGTTTTGAGAAGTTGTAATTTGAAAGTGATTTCAAAGTTTCAGGAGGAGGCTTTTTTAGGGAGAGGGCCCAGCCACACCTGCCCTCCGTTCCAGACCATATAATGGCAGGTGTCCCATGTGTAAGTTTTACCCTCTGCATGGGTCCCAGGCAGAGCGTATGCAGATAGAGACCAAAGGTCAGCCCTTGACCCCTCCAAGTCCCTCTCCAGTGAGCCTGCTTTAGAAGTCATGCCTGGGAGCTGAGCAGTAAGCACGGCCCCCACTGGGCAGCCAAGGCCAACACCCAGGACAAGATGGAAACCAGTCTTCCTGGAGGAAGGGAGGTGCCACTACAGGCACCTGGCAGGTGCAGGCAGTATGGGCAGGGGGTTGGGCTGCTGGTTATCTGTGAAGAGGGCAGTCATGCAAGAGAAAACAGAGTGGGCCCAGCAAGAGTCAGGCAGTAACCATCAGCCTGTGCCTCCTCGTGGCCTCCAGGGCACAGGGAGCCCTGGGTGCTTGGATAGCTCGGAGCTGAAGGCCTGGCCAGCTTGCTCTTGGAACATGGGTGGGAGACATCTACAGGGCAGCCTCGCCTGGCATGGGAAAAGGCAGCCTCCTGGGGAAGAGGGCCCAACACTGCCCACCCCCTCGGACATCTCAAGTTGGGACTCACCAGGGTGATCCAGGAAGCCTCCCCGCCGTGGGCACCCATCATGTACAGGACGAGCAGGGTAGTGGTGGCCACGAAGCAGAACACAGACACAAACATCACCCATCCCTGCATCAACGGCAAGGGCACCAGCGAGGAGGCAATCAGGATCCACACCAGGCCTCCGAAGACCTGCAGAGGAAGTGCAGTGAGCGGTGAGCAGGAGGCCAGGAAGGGCAGACCCAGAGGTCACACTGGGCGAAGACGGAAGGAAGGCGGAGCACAGTGGCGAGCATTTTCTCACCAGAAATGACTCTCATCCCCTCGAGGCTCCAGCCTGGGCCTCTCATCCCGGTCTGTCTGACCCCAGCTTGCTTGTCTTTTCCTTTTTTAAAAAATACCTAACACTATTAAGTTTTTTTTATTTAACAAATGCTTATATCACATTTATATATCAGGCGCTGTCCTAAATACTTTAAAAACACTACGTTTTTGCTGTGTACAATGCACACTGATGTTTTTGTGTGCATTGTACATGGGATTATTGCACCCATTACTATACTTATGGTATGTAATCATTGTACCATGTATAATGTGCATCCTTCTTTTTCCCTCAAAAAATTAGGCAAAAATTGTGCATTATACATGGCAAAATATGGTAACTCAGTGAATCCTCACAACAACCCCATGAGTGAAGAACTGACCCATTTGTCAGATGGGGAAACTGAGGTTCATGGAAGTTAGGTTTTTCATCATCCCAAGAAAAGACTTAACATCATCCATCTAGATTATCACTAGAAGGGTTGTTCTTTATTCTGAGGTTATATGCTTCCTAGTGTTTCGATATTAAAATATCCTTTCTTTTATGAAATGGTAGTAACCAGAAAAATAAATTAGCCACATTATGTCATTAGCTTTTTGTTTTTTGAAATTTGACCCCTGAAACCTCCAAGTCCAGGAGGTGCTCTGATGACGGGAGTCCGGGCTGGAGTGGAGAGGGCCCCGGCCAGCCCGGGATCCCCAGGTAGCCTAGGACACTCATGAAAGAAGCAGCTCCTGTAGTTACCCAGAAGATGTCCCCATCGATGTCCACAGGGCCAGTGAGCCCCATGTTTTCAAAGAGGAGCATGAGGACATATGTGGTGGTCGGTGATGCCCCTCAATGCCACTTCTCCAAGCATGTGCAAACCCATACTGGCCTTTTGTGTATACCCTTCCCTCTCCTTGTCCCCCTTCATCACAGTGAAATCAGCTCAGCCTCACCCACCGCCCCCATCCAGAGAAGAACTCTACTTGGAGCTGGATATGTGTGGACATGGCTTTGTGGTTAAAGGTTCCAAGGAACTGTGGTGTGTGGCCCTGTCTCCCTGAACATCTGAGGGCTGAGAAAGGGCTGTTGCTCCCAAGCCCTATGTGCCCTGTGGTGTGAACTCATGTGGTACATGCTGCCCACCTGCTGTGTAAGAGAGCCCACTGTCCTCACAGGTGTTCTCAGCCACTTAGCTGAGAAGGATCAGAAGAGAATCACATTCGTATCGAAAAATCAGTGCAGTGAAGAATCTGGACTTATCAAAACAAGGCTGGACCTAATGAGCCTCTCTGCACAGAAAACTTTCTTACTGATGAATTGGAGGTTGCCTGTAGCCCTGTGATAGAGCTAGTAGGACTCACTTTATATTTTATAATAACGGGAGAAAATCAATGAACTACAAACCCTTAGACAGCCATAGAATAAGATGTGTGTGCAGATTTCACTCATGGTGGCCTTTAGGATCCAACAGATCACTTAGCCTTTTCCATAATGGGCACTAACAAAGGGACGTAAGTGCGCCAATGGCCAAGTAGGACGTGGATTTTAGGAGGCAAGAGAGTGTGGCATGGAGAAGAGGGAGGGTCACACCTGCCTGGCTGGTTGGCAGAGACAGGGTCTAGGACACTCCTCTCCTAAGCATCCTCTGCCTGGTCACCTGGTGATGATGCAAGGAGGACCTAAGTCAGTTTCCCTGTCACGTGATCTAGAAAGCCTTGCACTTCTCTTTTCCTGCACTAAGCCCCAAACAGGTATAATCGGTTACAATATGGAACTCTGCCTGACCAGATGATGGAGGCGATGAGGTCCCCTTTGCTCAGGGCTAACTCCTGGGTGTGGATCACATGTCCAGCCGTGCATCAGGGTCTGAGTCAGTTAACTGGCCTCAGGGTCCTATTACATGGGTGTGGTTAAACTAGAGCCACCTGTGTACCAATCCCAAAGGAACAGCTTGGGGTGCCTATGGAGGGGAGTGCACCCGGGACAGAACCTGTACAGGACCCAGTGGGCTGCAGGTGTTTATACGTGGTTGATGGACATGGCCTTGAGGAACACTTAATGCCCATCAGGAAAATCATTCTCTTTTTCACTCTCTGGTTATTCTACGGCAAAGAGATGGGTTCTGGGTGGAGCCAGGTATCTGGAGCTCCCCTAGATGCGTGGCCAGAGGGGATCTGGGTTAACAGTTTTTTTTAAATTTTTAACACAGTGATATAGTTATTTGGGGGGGGAAGTAACGGTAAAATACATATTACAGGTAAATTGATGCACAGGTGGTGCCTGGAAATGGCAAAATTTGAGAAGGTGGCTCTTAGATCCTGGTCCGCAGACCACTTAACTTTCATCTGGATTCTTCCCTTGGTTGCTGAGTCAGGAATCAAAGCCCAGGAAAATCAGGTAAATTCGGAGTGCAGTCACTGCACTGGGTGCTTGCCATGGAATCCTGAGCACGCACGTGCTGAATGTGGCCACAGCTGGTGCGCTCGGGCATTCAGTGGCAGAGTGGAGTGCCAAGGCTAACCCGGACCTCCCGATTCACTTCAGGTGTGTTTTTACCCGGTGAAGACTATGCTTCAGCTCCTTAGAAAACATCTCACTCTCTCTCTCTTCCCTCCTCACTCCCTGCCTCCCTGGTCTCTCTTTCTTAGACTCCTGGATTCTATGGTAAGAACCCATCCTGCCTCTGGGTGTAGCTTGCCTTGCAAAGGTCCTTTAGAAAATCATACTGACTTTCCTTTCTTTTCATGGGTTATCTATCACAGTAGGCTTCACAGAGATGGTGGGGAGAAATTCTTTTTTTTAAAACAACTTTAATGAGGTAAAATTCACATGCCATACAATCACCGGTGTAAAGTGGACAATTTGATGGTTTTTAGTATATTCGCGGAGCTGTGCAAACATCACCTCCAGTCCAATTTAGGATGCTTTCATCGCCTCAGAAGAAACCCTGTGCCCTTCAGCTCTCGCCCCCTCCACGCCTCCCATCCCTACTTGGCAACTCAGCAACTTTCTGTCTCCACAGAGGGTGCTCCTCTTCTCAGCTCCCACACGAGCAGCATCCCATAATATGTGGACTTCGGTGACTGGCTCTTTTGCCTTTATCATAATGTCTTTTGAGGTGAGAAATCCTCTCTCAAGGGGACCTTTACAAAATACCTTCACATCACAACACACCCAAAGCCCATTCTAGCCCCCACCGTTTGGGGGACCCCGAGCGGCTGTGTCTCATCTCTCTGGGGCCTCCACGCTGGGAAGAGCTGGGGAATCACTGGTGCCCAGGGAGGTTCTTGTAGGACAGATGCCACCAGGCCCCACCTGTCCCAGAAATGTATTTCAAGTTACACATCAAGAGAAGGGAACATCAGCACAGGTGAAGTAATTAAGACCCCAGGGGTCTGCTCCCCGGAGACAGGGGCCTGCCCTTTCCCCTCACAGCCCTGCCCACCAGGTGCCCGTGGGAGAAAGGCAGGGTGGCTGCTTCCACAAGGAGGCACAGGGTCCACCTGGGAGGGGTGCCGAGTGGGGAGCAGAACAGCTGTGGACACAGGAGGCTGAGCTAAAGAGAGAACCTATTCCCAGCTACATGTGTATGAGCAGGGCCCCAGGCACAGACGCCACTCTTGGAGAATCTCAGGGAGCTATGGGTCAGGAGCCGTAACAGCTATGAGGGCTCCATTCCCCGGGGCACATGTGAGGTCTCACAGCACCCACATCACACAGCATTCGCACGTGAGTCCTGAGGCAGGCACCAGCACATCCGATGGCCGAGGCTTTAGCAAGCAGTCCACCCTCACGGCCTCAGATTCCTCGTCTGTAGCTGACAATCTGCAGCTGTCACCCCACATCACAAACTGGTGGAAACTATGGATGTGAATGTGAAGCTTCCACTATTCACAGCACCACCCAGCAACCGGGATAAGACACGCTCGCAGGAGACCCACAGCCCAGTGGAGACAGACACGGAGGCTACTAGTTACTCTTCAGGGCGATAACCAGCTCTGAGTGGGCTGGGGCAGGGCCCTAATCAAATCTTGAAGGGAGAGGTGGACTTTGTTGGTTAACTGGGTCAAAGCGCCAAGAAGTACCTTTCCAGGTGGAGGAAAGAGGGCAGGCTACCGCAGAGGGCGCTGAAGCAGCGGTGAGGGAGTCCGAGCCGGGAAGCTGTGCACGGAGCTCGAGGGGGAGGTGAGCCTCGGGACTGAACTGACTGGGCTAGTGGGGAGGCCTCCCAGGCCCACACAGTGCAGAGCTGGGATTCCGTGTGAATCTTGGTACCAAGCCAGGGCCTGCCCCCGCTCCACCCACGAAGTGTGCAGAACGCAAACAGAGAGCAAGGGCTGTACCCACACCTAGCTGATAAGGCATCTGGGCAAGGAGCAGTCACCCTGTCCCAGCTACAAGACCCCACTGGCCAAATATTTGTCAAAAGCAAGAGGGTAGGTGAGGGTTCAAACATTTCCCTTCGTAAAGAACACTCTAGGCGGTCCCAGCTTCCAGGAAGCAAATGCTCAGAGGCCATCATCCACCCCTGCCTGCACCAGGTCACCAGCCCCCATGACAGATGGTGCCGCTGCTAGGGTGGTCTCAGGCAAAGGGCTCTAAGTCCCCTGGGCTGAGCTCTCTTTCTGGGACCCAGATCCCCCAGCGGGAAGGGGCCCGTGGGGCCTGGGCTAACACTGCATGGCTCTCGGGTCTCACTCTGCGTTAGAATTACCCAAGACACCTTGAAAAATCCACCAGTGCCAAGGGTCTGACTCTACTGAAGAGAAGCAGTTACAGGACAAGAAACAGACACCCAGGTTCTTGTCAGAGGCCTTGGAACATGTTTCCACAGCAGCCCATGGAGGACGTTCTGGCCACTCCTGTCGGACGGAAGAAGGAG